ATTTTAATTCTATGAATTCACAAAATTAAATAAAAAAATTCATTGAATTTGGATAGTTTGTTGTCAAGAAATTTTATTTATTGCAATATTTCTTAAATTTCTTTTAAAAAAAACTTTAAATGAAGATTTCATAACAATCAACTAGGTTTATATATGTATAAACAACTTTATGATTTAACTGAAATTAAATATTGCTAGAAATTTACATTAGAAATTTTTTATAAATTTAGATAACTTTAAAATTTTGCTTTAACTTAAATATATTTAGAATCTACTTAAATAGATTCCAGAATTCTATTTTAACATATATACAACATAGACAAAAGAGTTGGATAATAATATTATAAGGATTGTGCAAAGTAATTTTAAAGTTAATAAGCAAATACAGTGCATTTTAAGCTTTTATTAGATAGTATTGATTATTTATTATTAAACTTCAATCTTTAATTAAATCAAATATTTAATAATTTTATTTGCATTTTTCTTCGATATAAAAGAATTTTATTCATTTTCTATTAAAACTTTTATATCTTAATCATGATTACAATTTAAGTATAATAAATCTTGAATTCTAGAATTAATTGCCATCGAAAGTTTAAATGTATATTAATTAAAATTAAAAGGTTATTTGTATTTGTACATAAAATTTTTTTTAATCTAGTAATATTTATCTTACCTTGAGCTATGTATTGTGAATCATCAATCAAAAAATAAAATATTATTTGTATAGTTTTTAACTGTTCGTGGCATTGTTTTTTTTCATTTATATAATATAATCTCCAAATTTATTTTTTCAATAGATTTAAAATTCCTTTCTATGCGTTTTACCTATAATAAAATTTTTTTTTTCTCATTGATCTTCAAGAATACTGAGTGTAATTTATTAGATGATCATATAATCTATCGCAAGTCTCTATATCCTCATCATCATTGTTAATAATTTTTAAATTAGAAGTTGTACAAATAGAATAGTTATTGTTATCATTATTGTTACTATTACTAATTTGTACTAATGAAGTACTAAGTAAAGGATATTTGTGATATCGTTGAACTTGATCAAAAAATTGTAAATCTACTATTTCTTTCTGTTTCACAAGATGTTTACAAATAAAAAACTTGCTTGTTGCAAAATACAGACATTTACAGATCCAATTTGAAATATCAGTTAGATAAGTATTATTAATCGTGCATGATTCTAAATTTTTCCATTCTCGTTTAAATAATTTGCGCCATTCTGCCTTTTCAACTCCAAGTAAAACTTTCTTTATTGGTGCGAAATTACTTGAGTCATAATTACAAATATTACTAAATCTAAGCAGGCTGAAAAAATTTATATAAAAAATCTCGCTTGATTAATTTCCAGTGGCTCTCTATGAACATATTTGTTTTAAGAATTGAAATTTTTGTATCACATCCTGCACGTAACCATAAAATCTAATGTTCAGAGCTATACCATTCGTTCCATAAATATACCCAAAGGAAAGATAATAAATTTTGATAACAAAAGTTATAAGTCTCATATACTGCCGTAAACCAAATTGTTTGAGCTGTTAAGTATTAACCATTAATTGTAGGTATTAATGGATGTTGATATAAATGATGATTTATCATTTTCCATATAGGTTTTCGAAATTGTTTTGAACAAAAAACATAATTTGATATATTATTTAACTGAGGGCAAAAATTTGGATCAATAAATTGAAATTGTTGATTTGCAAGTTGACTATTATAATTTATTTGTTTGGATACTGTATTATTCAAAAGTCTGGTTTCAATAGCCTTTCTAATGTGCCAAAGACAGATTTGTACTTTAATATTTTTCTAAACAAATCGAGCAGCTGATATTTGGGCAAAGTCTTTATCCATCAAAAAAATTCTGGATTGAGTCCAAGTTTTTGCAATTCATAAAAAAAATCAATTAAAATGCCAGTACGAATTCTATTGCTACAGTTTCTATTATTTTCAAGAAATAAATAGGCTAACGGATATCCACTTCCATCAATTTGAGCATGAGCTACATATAATTCAAATTTTAAATCATTCGTATTATCTATGAAAAAATAAAATAAAGCTATAAAATTTATAAATAAATAAATAAATAAATAAATATATGTGGCGTCAACTCCAATTTTATTAATTTGAAAATTTGAACTTCTAATTGCATTCCATAATGTTGTTAAAAATCTAATAGCTTTTGGTGCTTCTTTTTGAAAAATAATTTAATATGATTTTTCTTTTAACCATTTTTGTGCTAAAAGAAAAGAATCATCATCATGTCTAAATCAGTTTTTTCCAAGTTTTGTCCACTAATAATATATTTGCTTTTGATAAATATTGATATTTAAACCTTGTACAACTAATCATTTGTAAATTTCATGTGATAGCAAATCAATATTGTTTAAAATAAATTGTTTAGTTTCTAGTGAAATTGAATTATCTAATCACAAAGTATGTAAAAGATGATATATTTCTATATTGGATAATACAAGATCTTAAGAAATAATAATTTTAATGTATCCTTTACAAGGAAACTATTCCATTTGTTGTCTATTATGATGCTTATTAATATCATTATTTTTTTTTGACTTTTCAGCCAAGCAATTGCATTGAGAACAATAATAAACATAAGTCATTGAGTTTGATTTTTTTGCATTGTATTTATTATGATATCTAATCGGTTTAATTATTTGTAAGTATATAATTAATAATAATAATAAATAATACATATAAATATTAAATATAATAGATTTGTTAATTAACTTACATCCATACATAATCATCTATATTGGATATTGCATTAATAATATAATCAGCTTGATCTTTAGAGTTTCCATCTATTGCAGAAATATTTACAGTATAAGAAAATTTGAATTTTGATAGTTTATTTTCCTGATCTTTATTTTTTATATCATATATTTGCATTAAATATTCATCAAAATTATCCAACTCAATTATCGATTCATTATCAAGATCTTTATCTTGTTTGCAAATTTTTTTTTTTTGTTTAGTTGCTTTGTTTTGAGCACGACATAAATTGCAGATATGAAAGGTTTGATTAGATATAAATAGTTTATCACATCCCGAACAATATTGTAGTGTGTTAATATCATTATTGTTATTTATGATAAAAGAATTCAAATCCATTTATTTCATATATAAACTAAAAAATGTAAACCAATATAGTACTAGAATTATTAATGTTATAAAAAGCTTTTGAATTAAAAGCTTTTATTAATATTTATACTTTGATATTTACATATGCAATGATCGTCAAATGTTTCAGTATGTAATTAATATGTAATTGATATATTTGTACAACAAAAATTAACAGATTGTATAGCGATAGTGTCTACATATCGTTAATAAATTATTTTGTAAAAAAAATCAGATGACTTTTTTCTTCATTAAACTTTAATTAAATAAAGATTTCTCGACAACAAACCATCCAAATTCAATGAAAATTTTTTTATTATATTTTTGTAAATTCATAGAATTTAAATAAAAAAAATTGATAGAATTTGAATAGCTTGTTGCCAAGAAATATTTATTAAATGAGAAAAAAAATTTGGCTGCAGCTTCTTTTTTAAAGAGTCTAAACTATGACTGAAAATTACTCAGCGCTTACCTGGTCAAATTCAATCAAAAATTTTTTATTATAATTCTATAGGTTTATAGAATTAAAGCAAAAAAATAATTAAATTTGATCAAGTAAGTGCTAAATAGTCTTCATTCAAAGTTTAGATGTCTTTAAAAAAGAAGCTATAGTCAATTTTTTTTACCTTTAATAAATATTTTTCAACAACAAACTATTTAAATTCGATGAATTTTTTATTTTAATTTTTA